TTTTTTGTCTATTGTATGGTTATGCTATGTAACAATCAAATGCAACAAACAAATGAACACACAATTCACTCATCCGCAAACAAGTAGGACGACGTTTTTAATCATGAGGTAGGGTTTTCCTGCAGAAGAGTGTGCATTCAGGGTAGTTCTAATTTTCCTCACCAAGGCCAGGCCCCCAAGGTGCCCCCATTATAGGGTCCCCACTCTCCAGCCTTCCGACCATGCATGGCATTAAGACCTTAGTCAGTATTTGTGCCAAAAGAGGAATATTATCACCTTGAGTGGTGGTTTCTGACCATACCGGTAGGCTCATGGCCCTCACTACGACAAATCGTACCTGCCACCCACTCCCTATGGATTTCCCACTTGTCCCCAGGTATAGGGGGAACTATTGTATGCAAGGGTTTGTGTACAGTTTGTATTTCAAACAATTCCATAAAATAACAAACAACAGTTATTAAAGTCAAGCAATTAAAGCATGTTATAAAACAAGGTAGGGTAAAAACAAAATTTTTAAGTATTTTACTCATCAAACTAGTCCATCACTAAATGGGATCAACTCTCTAGCTTCCCCAGTGGAGTCGCCATCTGTCGACATCGTCAAAAGAGGCGGTCAGAGCGACGTGATGGTTTTGCTTCGACTCGCATTTTTTAAAGATATGGTTCAATGCCTTTAGGTTGTCTGATAACCGGGTTGGACCTAGGCGAGGTTTTTGGAAAAGGGTTCTGGAGTCGCCACCAATGTTTTATCCGGAAACATTGGAAAAGGAAAAAAAAAGAAGACATTGGTTTAGAAAAACTAACTTTGGCCATTATAACCAGAGTTGGGTAAGGGAGTTAGTTAAGTGTAGGGAAGATATTAACTTCCCTACGACGCCCCTTCCGGGTTCCCTATGATGAACCGTTTATTTTATAAATAAAGAACTCTAAAATTACGCTTTTACCCTTATTTATTTGCGGAATTTAAAGTGTTGACTACATGGCCCTAACAGCTAATGCACAGATAGATGTAATAAGAAAGCGGTAAAAGAAGATAGAAAGCGTAGGAACCTTCGAAGCAAGTTTTTATATGAATTCTTTGAAATAGGATGCTTTTTGACAATCCCCCGCTCTACAATGTTGGTCGCTCTTCCTCACAACACTACAGAATGCTCTCTAAGAATACTAAGAAACTCTGAAAATGCTTCGGAGGGATCCTAGGAGAAGAATTCGAAGAAAGTGGAGAAGGGAAAGTGGAAGAATTGTGTGTAAAGGGTGAGGACGTCCCCCCCTTTTATAAAAATTCGTGCTTGTCAGGTCGGGACCATCGTCTTGCCTGACAAGGTCGGGACTGCCGTCTCGCCAAACGGGACGGCGGTCTTGCCTTCGGCAAGTGGCGAGACGGCGGTCTCGCCATTAACAAGTGGTGAGACAGCGGTCTCGCCAAACGAGATGACAGTCTCACCCTTAGCCGATGGCGAGATGATGGTCTCGCCAAACGAGACGGCGGTCTCGGCCTTTATGTGGAATTTCTTGTTTTTCGCGTACAAAAGTCCTTCCTATTCCAATATGGGGCCTATTGATCAATCTTAGGGACCTTTTAGGCCTTGCCCATCTTTGAACGGAAGTCTTCTGCTCTTTATTTTGTGACGGGGCAAGATTTGGGGTCTACACAACAAGTCTAATTTAATCAAGTATTTATTTAAATATGTCAATAAGGGTTCAGATAGAGTTGGACTTAAAATAAGTTGTACTTCTAATGATTCTACAGAACCAACCATTCTTAAAAAAAAATCAAGAGATATTATGATTGTAGATACTTATCACCATCAGAGGCAGTTTGGAGAAATTTTGGTTTTGGCATTCATCATACATGGTCAGTTGTTCAAAGATTAACATTTCATCTCCTATTTGAACAACCAATTCTTTTTAAAGGTGATGATCAAATTGAAGTTGTTTTGAATAGTCATAAAGATGCTCAAACAATGTTTTTAAGTTGGTTGATGCTAACAGAATATTTCCTGAGGGTAGAAACTTGATATATGTTGAATATCAAAACAAATTTGTATGGATTACTCAAGAAAGAATATGGAAATCGAGGAAACAAGGATTAAATATTGGTAGGCTAACTTATATTCCACATGGATTTGGTGAACTATATTACATGAGAATTTTATTAACTATTCAACAAGGTTGCATTGAACATGATAACATACAATATGTGAATGATAGAATTTATAAAAACTATCAAGAGGCTTGTTATGCTTTGGGCCTTTTAGCTGATGATAAAGAGTTCATTGATGCGATCATTGAAGCTAGTGAACTTGCTTCTGGAAATGAGTTGAGAAAATTATTTGTTTGTCTATTAATCATGAACATCATGTCCAAAAAACATTTTGTCAAATGGTATCTTATCCAAAATAATTATGAAAATTGCTTGTTTATAACATTAATTTCTTTATGTAGGTCTTCAAATTGAAGAAATTGATATGCATAATCTTTGTCTTCTAGAAGTAGAAGAATTTATCATATCAAATTGTTGGTCTTTAAAATATCATAGTTGTCTTTCACAATTCACAACCTCAACATTCAAGCTCATTCCTTTTTCAAAATTGGTTTATTATTAATGAGCTGAGTAATGATAAAGTAAAGATGAGTAAGGTACATGAGTCACTCTTCCAATCATTCACTAATGAATAAATGCATGTGTATGAAGATATTCTTATAGTAGTGTTTTTAGAATGAGGAGATTTTTTTCTTTGTATATGGTTATGGTGACATAGGAAAGACATTTCTTTGGAAAACTTTGCCCGCTACTATTGGGTGTAAAGGAATTATTCTTCTTAATGTAGCTTCAAGTGGAATTGTTTCTTAATTACTTTCTGAAAAAAAAAAAAAAGAAAAGAAGCTAGCTCATTCTTCCTTTTGCATCCCATTATTAATATATGAGGAATCAACTTGCAATATTGTTCAAGGAAGTTTTTTAGCTATGTTTTTTATGGAAACCAAGTTAATTGTATGGGATAAGGCACCAATGATGAATAGATTGTGTTTTGAAGCATTTGATAGAACATTGAAAGATAGAAAAAATGAAGAGAATTGTGTAAAACTATTGGTGGTAATATTGTCGATTAGAAATTGATTTTAGACAGATTATACTTGTTGTCAGAAAAGGTTAAAGACTTGATATTGGAAAATCACTAATAAATTCCTTAATACTATGGAAGAATTACAAAGTTTTGAAGGTTTCTAAAAATATGAGATTTAACCATACAAGGATAGAAGACAATGCAAGGAATATAAAGAATTTGTTTAATGAATATTAAACATAGGTGATGGAGATATGGATCTCAATGAAAATGGTGAAGGTCATATTGACATACCCAAAGATATTTTAATTGAGAACAATGACATACCTTTACTTTTCATTAATTAATTTTGTTTATCCAAATTTTGTGCATAAAGTCTCATGATTTCTTTCACGATTGAGCAATACATTATCCAACTATTGAATCTGTAGAAGAGGTGAATGAATTTATTTTGTCTTTAGTACCTAGTGAAGAAAAAAGTTACTTAAGTTCAGACACAATTTGCCAATAAGATGAAGACCAAGAAATTGAAGGGGGAGTGATTTACATCAGAGTTTCTAAATGACTTTAAATATTCTAAAATTTCAAATCATTGTCTTAGGTTGAAAATTGATGTCTCTGCTATGCTTTTAAGAAACATTGATCAAAATGATGAACTTTGTAATGGGATAAGATTACAAATCAATTATTTGAAAAAAGAAAATGTTACTTCAATTACTATGATTATTGAAAAAATATTAATGATAAAGTAGTTATACTAAGAATAGATTTAATTCCTTCATATTCCAGATTTCGTTCAAGATTCAAAGAAGATAATTTTTTATTATTATATTTTGGAATGACAATAAACAAAAGTCAAGAACAATCATGTTAAAAATATAGGACTTTATTTTTCACATTATAATTTTACACATGAATGTGGCGGTATCAAGAATAATAAGGAAGATGAGATTGAAAATTTTAATTATGGATAAAAATAGAAATATATGTTTATTAACAAAGAATGTAGTCTATAAAAAAATTGAAAACCTTCAAAATAGTTGTTATAACATATTTCATTCTTTATATCAAGCATGCATTTTCTTTTAATATCAATATATTATTTGTTACATTTTTTTATAACTAATTTTAATTTTGTTTTTACTCAAATACAGATTTTGAAAAAAATATAATCATATACAAATTATTCTCTAATAAATGTATTTTCAACAATATTATAAATGACTATTTCATCTATTATAATATGCATATTTATTATTCTTTAAAATTATAATAAATAATCTTTCAATAAATAACGTAATCGGTGTGTTGCACGGCAAATAAAACTAGTTTAAAATTAAATAACAGTACAAAATGTTTTCGTATTGTCGGTGCGTGGACTATTTCTCTAATTAAATTCTCCTAAGCGAAATTGTCTCAAATGAATCAATAGTTAAACTATAAGACAGTGTGAATTTATTGACACAATTATTGGATAGTTAACAATTCTATTTAATAGAAATGAATTGTGACAGGGAATTCGATTCTCAGTGTATGGTAGGATTTTAAGATAACTATGAAGCACATAGAATTACATGCAACTCAAATGACAATCAATCCTCGCTGGAATTAAGAAACGATGGAGCACATAAAAGGAGTATTAACCTTTCCTCCAATAATTACAAATGTAAATGTTGCAATGTAGAGAAAGTGAACATTAACTTCCCATAATAAGCCTAAATGGGTAGCACGCAATCTCATCACGTCCAGGAATCATGAGAGAGGGATGAGAGAGGTTGTTTTGAACCGGGCAGAACACGGATTTTCCTTTATAAGTGAAACAAATGTACATAATTGTTGAACATCCTTATTCCACATACCGAACAAATCACGACATTGACATTGAGAAACAGCACAACGTCCTTCCAGTCCAAATAAATGCTTGAAAAATCTTTAAGCAGATCGCTTCTGCTTGTACCTTTTGGCAGCAACTATGTACACCAACATATTTAAGAGGCTAAGTCCAGCTAAAAGCCAGAAAAAGTAATCGAGATGACCTTTGTTCAAGTTATCTGGAATCCATCCAGGATTTGCACCTTGTGTAGTGAAGTAAGTCACTATAGTTAGAATAAATGAGCTCAAATAATTCCCCAGAGAAGTAGTCAGCAGAGACAAAGCACTACATAAACTCCGCATGGCATCTGGTGATTGGTCATAGAAAAACTCAAGCTGCCCCACAAATGTGAATACTTCTGCTGCACCCAATAAGAAATACTGAGGGACTTGCCAAAATATGTTAAGGGGTACAGAAACAGGTTTATCAACAAGATCAAGCTCTTCCGCAAGCTGCAGACGTACAATCTCCACTATAGCAGCTGCTGACATGCACAGGACTGAAATAAAAAGGCCAATTCCCATTCTTTGCAACTCTGAAAATCCCCTCTCTTTGCCTGTAAATTTCCTCGCGATGGGAACAATAACCCTGTCATAGACGGGCACCCAGAAAATAACACTTATCACATCAAAACTTGAGAGGGAAGCAGGAGGAATCTTGAAGGAACCAAAATTTGTTTTCATCATTGTCCCTTGTTCCACAAATAATGTTGACATCTGAGCATAAACAGCAGCAAAAACAATCCCAGTAGCCCAAATTGGAAACATGCGAATCAAGATTTTCAATTCCTCCACCTGCGTCACAGTGCAAAGTCTCCACTTGTTAGAATAGTCACCAGTTTTGTCCTCAGAATCAGACACTACAGCCGCTCTATCAAGACACCTTCAACAAAACAAAAGAAATGTGGTTTTAGATAAAAGAAGCCAACATTGAGTGTAAAATCTTCTAAAGAAGTTAAGGTTACTTTCGCTATTATCAGTAGAAGAATAGAAAAACGTATTATTAGGACAATAGCTAAAAATTTAAAATTTTAGTAGAGGACATCTCAACTTTATTTTAAAAAAGAAAATTGTTTGGAAGTTACAAGAAATCTACCAAACACCATAATATTCTTATAAAAAGGGAAAAGAAAAGCAAAAAATCAATAAATCCACCAGTATTCTACTCAGAAGAGTAATAACAGTCCAATGTAATTTGCATCCCTCTTGAATAAACAAAGTATTGAACATAGCAAGTTCATTCTTTGATGACATCCAGATAAGATATGCAAATAAACTTTATATAGTCATTTCTCATAATCCATAATACGAGACAATTATGTGCAAAGTTAATCATGAACAGTAGGGCAACAAAATGAGGACATAAAATTAGATTAGAAACCAAAGATCATTTTCCTTAAAAATATATGCTTCCCTTTGTTATCAAACAGTTACTACACCAACTTACGGGAAAAAAGAAAATTTGTTGCTTATATTCGTACATCTGAAATCGACAGCAACAATATATAACAGTACATTAGTGGGCCTTTCTTACTCCCTCTCGTTTAAGGCCTCATTGGCACTCTGGATTAGGAAGGGGTAGGATAAAAACTATCCACCTAATAAGCATTTAACAATCACACATTGTCGATTGTTAACTAGAATTGAATAGGAAACTTTTTTCAGTGAAAATCTTATTTATCAAGATGTTACCAAATTTAATGTGAACCAATTTGTTTTGTTTTCTATTATTACTGAAAAAAATTCACAGATAAGGGGAAACACACCTGACAATAAACTTCAACTATAGAACCGGAGTGATGTAGGGAAGGGAGTTTAAGATATGAATATAGAAATCAGAAGAAGAAAGGAGAATAAAGGAAAAGAATAATATTTTTCTCTTTGAGATCAAAAGAAATCCCCATTGCGAGACAGTTTACCAGTGACATTCTCAAACACAGTTGCTGTCTTGCTGGTATTTGCTGGATAATTTAGAGATGATGGTTAAAACTTGCATCTAAAATATTAGGAAAATATGCAGATCCATTGAAATTTGGATGAGATTATGAATAAATCCATCAGAAGCACAAAGTTTTACAGAAGTTAGAAATTGTCGGCTTCTCTAAAATGTATTCCATCTTTGATGATTGTAACAACTAGAGAGTCTAATGAGGGGAAGTCAGCTTAGGGGTAATAAAATATGTCAACAGTCCTAGAGTGGAAAAAGAGATGTGCAATGGTTATAGTAGGGGTGTCATAAGGAAGTCACCTAATGAGAGTATAAGCTCTGATAGTGTTGTGCTCTCTGTTATGCACTCCTAACACCAAGATTAGTTATCCTATTCCTATCTTATCAGGCCTTATCTTGTGTGATAAGGTCTAAGCACTAAAGGTCTAGCTAACTGTAGCTGGTCAGTCAGGGCCCAAAATTAACAATCTCTATTTGCTAATAAGTATTACCCCGTAAAAAATCAAGTTTGAATTTGGGAGGAAGACAAATTGCACTATAACAAGAATATCAGGAGTAAGATAACATGCTTTTGTATTGTGAGTTTGTGACCACGAAAAGCTAGTAACACTACAACTTAAACACAAAAGTAAAATAAAATTACTTTAGTTCATCACTATGCTCCAGTTTCCGACTTCCTTCAATTGCAGAGCTCTTATCTGGTGTCTCATATAGGAGACTACTATCCTCAGGGACAACCAGATTTCGCTTCCGGACAGATGCTACCACAACCTGGCCCATTCTTGTAATAGGGCTTCCCCCTGGTTTTTGAAACCTGTAAAGGGGCGTGCCCAAAAAGAAGCTTCCAATGGCTATCGTCATAAACAAAGCAGGAATGCCAAATCCAAGACCCCAGCCTGCATTTTCTTGAATCCAAACAATAAAGGTGCTGGATACAAGGGCACCTATGTTGATAGAGAAATAAAACCAGTTGAAGAAGGATCCCTTCTTAATCCTTTCCTGGGAATCAGTATCATCAAACTGATCTGCCCCAAAAGATGACACACATGGTTTTATACCACCAGTCCCAAGTGCAATCAGGTAGAGACCAAAGAAGAACAGAGCATATTGTGCAGGAGTAGCTGGAGGGCATGAAGTACCCAAACACTCTGCAGGCTTGAGTGCAGGAACCGATGCAGAAAGAGTCAATGTACCCATTCCCTGAATGAAACAGACATGTTAGATATCGAAATAAGTATAGACCACTGAATAACATAGCACATAGAAGCAAAAGGTACACAATAAACAAAATGATGACAAAAAATACCAACAAGCTGATATACAAATCCGAGGTTTTCCTGATATTAACCCTATAATTTCTCAAATGGATTAAGATGCATTTAAAAATTATATCCAGTGCTCAAGAGAAATCTGTAAAAGTTCCTTGCTTCATGCTAAGAAACTTGGATATTATGTAGTGCAGTGCAATGGAAGAAAGAAGTTTGAATCACAATATACCCAAAACTGATCTTCTGATTCTCCTATTTCCATTTTATTCTTACAACATAATATTTGTCATTCTTCCATATCCTTAACTATTTTCATTTTTTTATGACGTGGCATGCAAGAGGACTCATATCTCACACAAACAATACCTGGAAAATGATCCAATAAAAACCTATCACAATTAAAAATTACAACGTAAAATACTGTATAAGAATATTCCTTGACTGTGTCAGAAAATCCTATGCATAGATAAATCCTCAGCTTATGGCAGGCATGTATTTTGCATTATCACCATGAAATTGTGTAGGACATTTCCAGCAGTATATCAAGAGAGGAATGTGTGGAAAATTAATTGATAAGAAAAATTAAGTTTGTCTTTGTTAGAAATTACTATGACATAAATCGTGGAGAAAACAGCAATTGTCCAGTATCGTCCCCAGTAAGCATCTGCCAAAACGGCACCAATGAGAGGTGCAAGATAGCAAGTGCCTTGCCAGGTGGTGACATTTCTTGCAGCAGAGACATTTCCTTCATGAAGCTTCTGGGTAAGATAGGTAACAAGATTTGTTGCAATGCCATAGTATGCCAAACGTTCGCAGCACTCATTGCCTGCGTTTCACATTACATAACAATGCAATCAACTGAAAACTTACCTATAAGCATAAGACAATGAAAAAACTTACCTAAGATAAATGGGCAAGCTTTCCAATTGCCAGTGTTCTCCTTAAGAACAGGCCTCCCTTTAAAGTCAACTGATCCATCTCCTGTGTATTGTTTTCTCTCATCATCCTTCAGTATAAAACAACCAATTGTTCATCATGGTGAAAAGAACCACGTCTTGGCAAAGATTCAGACAAGAGATAAGAAAGTCACTTGCTATTGGCCCACAACTTTATGCTTGACTATTAAGAGTATAAGAAAGGAGGACAACATACAAATGACAATTAACTAAATGGTAGATTTGAATGTCAAATTTGGGCAGATGATATTGCTATAATGTTGAAAGATTTGGTTGTCACCGATATATTTTTTACCAAATCAAGTAACATAAATTTAGGCTAAAAATAGCAAAACTATTTAATAAAATTTCTTCTCATGTTTAATTTACAACTACAAAGTATAAACAGTGAAAACAAATTACTGACAACCAATACGAGAAGGGACCAGAAGAAAAACCAATGGAATTGTCAGTGAACTTCATTTACATCCACCTACTAAACACGGCATGAAATTAAAAAAGGATGGGAAAAAAATTAAAAGGTAAAAAAATTATTTACCCTACCAAATCACTGGAAAATCCTTTCATCCCATTTTACATATGAACTTCTACAAGAACAGCTTGAATACACCACAGTTTGTGTTTTCATTATCACTGTTAAAGATGTTACATTGAACCTTGAACCAATTTTTTATTCCACAATTCCAAGCAATTATTACATGAAGAGATAAACGATTCAATTCGCTAAGAAGCGGCATCCACAAAGCAAACACAAAATACAAGTAATTTTGAATTAAACTCCACCGGCAAATTATAAATTACAAAATAAGAGAACCTATAGCCCAAGTCAAAGACTCTTACGAGAAGGCCTTGAATACAGAACACAAAAATCAAAACAAGAATAATTCAACATGGTTAATGAAAAAACATAGAGGACGAAGATGACCTGAAGAAGAGCCTCTTCAGCAACCGATATATCATTCTCCGTGGAACCCATAACTCGTCCAATCGTAGGAAGAGAAGCGAGTGAGGAACGTGGAATTTAATGATAATTAAAAAATATATATTCTCGGAATGCGCAATAAACGCCGCAATTGTTTTCCGATATCACTATCAAGTTGCAAATCAATGTAGTTTGTGTAAGAAAGCGAGAGAGACGCAAGTTGAAGAAAGAGGAAGAGAGTTTGAAAGGTGTTGTCTTCCTCAACCGAACCCAATCGGTGAGAAAACCAAGAGAGGAAGCAACCGAGTTAAATTAAATAATAATAATAATAATAAATAAATATCCGAGATTGTACCTATTTTCCCATAACATGGGGTCACGCACCCACCCACAACAAACTCTAGTTACACCTTGTCGTTTAATGCAGTTAAACATTTCGGCATATTTTTCCAATACTTCCCAAATATTCCAATAATTGTTTATTACTTTCATTTTTAATCTCTGTAACAACAACAATGTTCACGTGTAAAGATATTCGTTAAACAATTATAAGTTGTTTTTAAAAAATAAAATAAAAAGTAATGTCAGTATATTTTTTAAAAGTTGGGCAAGCTATAGATCCTGAAAGTGTGGCCCATGTGATGATGACGTAGGATAATTATAAACATTAGTTTTTCTTTCACAATGAAAATAATAAACAGAATTATTATTTTTTATAAATGCCATTGCTTCCGAGTACAAAACTGATGATTAAATTATAACTTTATCTATTTACTTTTACTGAAAAATATTTGATAATTTTATTATTCAATTATTTAATATTTCGGTCGTACCATCTTTTCTTCAAGATGAATCAAATTTATAAGATGAGATTTTTTTTTTTATTTGAGAGTATTCCCACTAAAATTGAACAACGTTTCATTGAAAATTTTATAAGATGAAAATATTTATAAGAAACATAAATATAAAGCGTAAGAAATATAAATATACGAGAAACATAAATATGTAAGTAATGTAAAATGCAGAAAAGAAAATTAAGGAAAATTCATAAAGATGGAACCGTCAACAATTTTATTAAAATAATTTTTCCCTGTATTAGAGAATGCAGGTCTTATAATTCAATTTGTTAAACTCAATTTGGCATCTTTAATTACATTTACTTAATTCTATTTATATTTTATTTCGTGTAACAGTTAAAAAAATATAATTAAAAATAAAAATAATTTATTTCCTATTAATTGTTTTTTCAATTTTTTCTTAATAATTATATTGTGAAATATAAAATTTATAATAGTCTATATCTCGTCAAGAAATTATAATAGTTTCTATTACATTATAAAATTATAATGATTTTTATATATTTTTGGATTATATAACTATTTTCTGATATTTCTCTTATCTTTCAGGATGTTTTAAGTCTTTCATTATCACTTCTGTCTTTCTCTTTATTTATTTTTTTCAATATGAATTTTTAATTCTCTTTTTTATTTTTAAAATTTTTTCTTAAATGATGGAATCTGATTCTTCAATTTTCAATTTAATAGTTATAAATCATCTATTACTTAATTCTTTAACTTTCTTTAACCACCTTTTTATTAACTCTACTTTTTGATATCTCGAATTCTTCCATTTTTCAAATTATCTATCTTGGTCATTTCAATCTCAAATTTTACTATCTCAATTTCAATTCTTACTTTTAATTTTTAACATTTTTCTAACATATTGTTTTTATATATATTCATATAGATTTGTAAGTAATAAGATCAGAATTAATTTTTTAAATTTTTTATAACTTTATAGATCACAATTAAAGTCATTAATTTTATAAATTATTATTATTATAAATTATATTTTGCATAAATTAAAATTATCAATATAATAATTGTACTGCTAATTAGATAGAAGATAATAAAAATTTGATCAAGTTTTTCAATTTTTTTAAAATACAATAACATTATTCTTTCATCGATTTAAATTAATAATATTGATATATTATTAATCTCAAATAGTGAGTCCAGCATCTCAAGAAGTCCAGGAAAACGTTATCCAATATCTTGTAATTATTTGGAACCAATCAATGAACATGCCCGCCATATGGACTATATTAACACTTATCGACAAACAGTGAACTAAATAAGTATTTTTTGTACGAATTATTTTTGCTTTCTTTTCCTTAAAAATAATTGAATTGATTATATTTTTACTTTTGTATAATTTCTTTTAAAATAAACAGCTTAATTTTTGGAAGAAATTGTTAGAATAAAAAGTTTTAGAAGACCTGCACCTCGTACAAAATATCTTATTCTAACGTATAAAATCTATAAAGTATTTTCATAAATGATGAATTCATAATAAAATTTCATATATTTTCATTTTAATACATGAATTAAGTGTTAATAAAAGTAATATATGTCTATGATTGACATATTATGATATCTGTGAACCAACGCTGAATATCTTCGCCTGGAGTATCTTTGAGTTCCAATCTATCATAATGGGTCTAGAATTATTTCCCAGTACTTTGTTTCTCAAAGTGCCATGAGCAAGTTATCTGTGATGCATAAGAATTTAGCATAATATGGGAGTGGCTCTGGGCAAGTAAAAATAATATCCAACCTCACTTATATTTATATAATTTTTTTAATTTAAAAATAATGTCATTCGTTTGTTTATTTTAAATTAACTCATACAAAATAAAATTAAATATATAAAATCATAAAAATAACGGTTACATTTATATAGCTTTAAAGAGTTATAATTAATTGACTATACATTAAAATTCAAATATATTTTAACAGAAATATTAGATAACACGTCTTCTAGTTTTTTCTTTTCATCTAAATACACTTTATAAATATATGGAATTAAAATGTTTTTAGTAATTAGTTTAAAATCAATATTCAAAATTTTATTTATCATCTAAACTCATACTCAACATAGTTAAATTAAAGATTATGCTTAATAATATATTTAACAAGTGTATCTCGGTAAATTTTAGAGTTAAATTCATTACTTCAATAAGTTAATCTTATTATCAAATATAACTCTCACATTATGATATTTTAGAAATACACTATATTTAAGAATATATCATCTTAAATTATTGATCTTTAAAAACAAATTTGACACCAATAACAAATATTAAGAAAATGACAAAAACAAATGAAAGTTATGTTTAAAGTTTATTATTTTTTTCTAAATTATATATATATATATATATATATATATTATACTTATATTTTTTTAATAAAATAATATTATTTTTATTTTATTAATAAAATAATTGTTATTTTATAAAATAAATTAACTCATAAATTTAAGGGTTAATCTGATCTAAGCTTATTTAGATTTAATCTAATAAGTCCATCCAAAATTTACACGATTTTGTTTAGATCATAATTTTTTGGGCACATCATGTTTCAAATTTTTTGAGTTAATCCATTCAATTAAGTCTATTTTAATTCCTTTTGTTAAAAGTTATTGCACTAATATCCATCATGGTAACACGGATCTATCCTGGTTGGGAATTTTTTTTCTCTATCTATTAATTTATTGTTATTAAAAAAAGTATATGCATGAATTTAAGTGAATTTATCAAGTTTAAATTCAGTTGTTAGAGATTATTTGCTGAAAAAGATGGATGAACAGGTGTATGCGGTGAACAGACATGCCTCTTGGACCATTAAATATGAGGCCTACAACTACCGCGCTTGAAAATATATTCTCTGCCCAAGTTCAACTTTGCAGGTGCATGCGATGAACAGATATGCCTCTTGGACCAAAAAGGGTAGACGTGAACAATTTCAATACTAGCGAAACATATATGCGCGCACAAATCCAATTAGAAATAAGGAGAAACAGAGAAAATAAAATGCAAGAAAGTGGTATTATTGTAAAATAAAAAATTGTGTTTTATAAGAGAGTCATTAATTATATAGAGAGAGAGGGTTGATGAGAGAGAAAATGTGATAAAGCCTTAGCTTAGCAAACAAAGTTGTTGAAAAAACTATAAGTTCGAGATATAAGTATTAATGATGGAGTTAATGAATTAGGAATTGAGCATTATTGGTCAAATTGGATGAAGATATCGTTGTAAAAAATTATTAATGATTTTTTTATGCATAGAGCGCCTCCATATATGTCCAACTTGAAATAAAAATAATTAAATATAGAAGAAGACAAAATTTTGGTCATAATATCAATTTGTTAAAAACTATTACTGATCAACAGAAGTTTCATGGTACATTGGTTAAGTTTTTGAGAGCAATGTAATCTATATCTGTATGTTTGCTCAATTTGTGGAAGATTTGATTAGAAGTTATTGATAGCAAATTGATTTGTTGAGAAAAATATAATGGATGTTTCCATGAAGTTAGATATGTAAAAGTGAAATTAAAAACTATTGAAAGTCCCACATCGTCTACCTCATGTCATTTGGTATGATTTAAATATATATTAGGCTACTCCACGTATTGCCAATTGATTTTATGTTGGAACCTTAACATGGTATCAGAGCCAAAGCCTAACATTTTTCCGGTTATTTCATGGGCCAAAAGTTGTCATTTAGTTGGGTCAAAAGTACCCTTTGCCTGGTCCGACGGGCTTCGTTGGAGGGGGTGTGTTGAAAGTCCCACATCGCCTACCTCATGTCATTTGGTATGATTTAAATACATGTTAGGCTACTCCACATATTGCCAATTGATTTTATGTTGGAACCTTAACAAAAACGAAATAATTTGACACACCAATTAATAATGGAGTTCGGCAAAAAATACCTATGTTTCCAAACTACTGCAAATATTTCACTAGGAGAAAGGAAATACACTGGTATTTACAAAACACTCTCAAATCACTCATAACCCACAACCTAATTACATCTAGAAGTTAAAATATTTCTCATGCTTCTTGTCTTTACTAGTTTTCTCTTGGTTTTGGATGATTTTTTACACACTGAAGAATGCCATATTTATAGCAAAGTTTGGGTACTATTCATCACAAAAAACCAAGCCGCGAAACATGCAAATTTTTCTTCCTTATTTTCTGCATTTTGGTGGCTTCGTGTTTCCTGTAATGTTTTCCTCCAACCACTTCCCACCTTTTGACTTTTCAACAATCTCCCACTTGAGGATTGATTTCAATTTTGGTTGCACATTGTTTTCTTCATTTGATTCCTCTGATTGAGGACTCCCCGCTATAGGACTTTCTGGGATATCTTCCACCTCTACAAAAATTGGCCCACTCGACTCTGAGTTGTTGATACCTGTTTTATGCAAGTCCTTGTACATCACTCTTTCATTGAAGATTACATCTCTATTGCAGATCATCTTTTTGTTTTCATCATCCCATATGCGGTAGCCAAACTCTTCTTCACCATAACTAATGAAAGTACACTTTGATTTTGGGTCAAGTTTGTTTCTGCCTTGATCACTGATATGCACATATGCTACACAGCCAAAAACTCTAAGATGTGAGAGTTTTACCTCTTTTCTGCTCCATACTTCTTTTGGTACTTTGTGCTCCAATGGTAATGATGGACCTCGGTTGATCAAGTAAGTTGTTGTGTTGACTACTTCTGCCCAAAATGCCTTTGGTAAGCCTGATTGCACACGCAACCTTCTGGATCTTTCAATCAACGTTCGATTCATACGCTCAACTACACCATTGTGTTAAGTCATTCCTGGCACGATCCTCTCTATTTTGATCCTGTGCTTATAGCAAAACTTCTTAAATCCAATGTCTACATATTCATCACCATTGTCGGTTCTGAGCTTTTTAATCTTCAACCTTGTCTCATTTTCTACCATAGCTTTCCATATCTTGAAAGCCTCAAATACTTTAGACTTATGTCTCAAAAAATATACCCATACCTTTCTAGAGTGATCATCGATAAAAGTCACAAAGTATTGCTTCCCACCAATGGATGAGACTGACATTGGACCCCAAACATCAGAATGGACAAGCTCAAGCCTCTCTTTTTTTGGGGTCCTTTTTCTTGCTTGAAAGCTAACTCTCTTCTGCTTTCCAAGTATGCAATCTTCACACATGTCAATTTCTACTGACTAAATACCTGGTAATTTTCTTTTTGAATTTATGTTCTTCATCCCTTTCTCACTCATATGCCCAAGTCTTTGGTGCCATATATTGGGATTTTCATTTGCTGCGACTACAATAAAATGACATGCTTCTGCTGTCTTGTAAAGAGGACCTCCTTTTTTTCCTCGAGCAATTGTCATCGCACCCTTTGAGATCTTCCAATCATCACCATGGAAGATTATCGTGTAGCCTTCACTGGCTAACTGACCCACTGAGATTAAGTTCTTTGTTAGGTCGGGAATATGTTTGACATTTTTCAATTCTCATACAGACCCATTCAACTTAATCTTTACAACACCTTTACCTACAATTTTGCATGATTTCTCATTATCAAGCTAAACTTTACCAAGGTTTCTGGGAACATAATTCTTGAACAGTTGCTTATGTGAGGTAGCATGGAAAGATGCTCTAGAGTCTAACACCCAAGACTCCTCCTTGCTTTCTAGAGAACATATCAATACATCTGAAAGTGATGAAGATCTTAGTGAAATATCTTGGCAAAGATCTCATTGATTTGATGAAGTCAAAGATAAAGTCAAAAGTCAACTTTGCTGCAGTCAACAAGTCACTCAGATAATAGAGTTAGAGATTTAGTGTGTCTACAGAAGGCTTAGGTAAAACCACTTCATCTTTTCTGCTGCATGAAGTTTCTTCTCTTAAATGATTTTGCAAAATGCCTCCAAAATCGTTTTAAACAATTAAAAACAAAGCATTTTTACAAAAGCTTTCTTAATAATGTTTTTAACTGATATTGTTTTAAAAGAACCGATTAAAATCCCTTAGAATGTTCAAAGAAGTGTTTTTACAGTATTTTAATCGATACAAATTGCTTTTAATTGATTAAAAAAATTCAGAACCCATTTTGACCGATCAGATTTGAAATATGAGCGATCAGAACATTTTCAATCGATTAAAACACGTTTCAATCGATTAAAATCACTTAAAGGGTGAGGATGATCGATCAGAGTGCAATTATGACCGATCAGAGTTTGTTATGATCGATCAGAATTGAATTATGACCGATAAGATCTGTTTCAATCGATTAAAACGCATTTCAACCGATTAAAACAACTTGGAAAAATTATGTACAGAGTTTTAATCGATTAAAACTTCTTTTTATCAGTTAAAATAACTTGAAAAGTTTTATAAGAAAGTTTTGCAGTATATCAATCGATTAAAACACGAAACAATCGATTGAATCAAACTTAGAAAAGTTTTGTAAAATGTTTTAGCTGATATAAACGTTGTCGTATCAGTTAAAACAAATCTGTTAAAGAATCAAGAACGCATTAATGGATTGAAAGGACTTTTAACAGATTGAAACGGCTATTTCAACAGATTAAAACAAACTTTCAACAGATTAATTAATGCAGCAGTTTTGAAAATACTCTTTAAAATCAGAGTTGCTTGGAACTTTTTACACATCAGTTTTTACACATCCTTAAGCAATCATTCAAGCAAACTCTAGCATTTTTTTCAAGAAAGATTCGCAACAATTTTTAGAAGTTCTTTTGAAAATCTTTCTTAAGGCAACTTGCATTCTTTTGAAGAAGAAACTCTCTGCAGATTTGGATAAACTGGTTTGAGCTTTCTAGTTTCTTCTTTGTCAATTATTTTTCATTCTTTTGTATTGTGTTGTGCCTGGAATTTGGGTACAAGTTTCTCTGCAGCTGGAATTTGGTTGTAGAGGTTATCAAGAACTGGAATTTGGTTCTTGGGGAGAGGTTGAGTACAGGAACTGGAATTTGGTTCTTGTGATTGTACTGAGTGGTGCCTGGAATTTGGGCACTGGTTTCTCTGCAGCTGGAAGTTGGTTGTAGAGGTTATCAAGAACTGGAATTTGGTTCTTGGTGGAGAGGTTAAGTGCAGGAACTGGAATTTGGTTCTTGTGATAGATTAGGTGTAAGATTGTTGAATCTGTAAAACATTTAATCTAGTGGAACCCAGCTGGAATTTGACTGGAGACTGGACGTAGCCCTGGAGACTGGACGTAGCCCTGGTATTGGGTGAACCAGTATAAAATACCGGTGAAATCTTTCTTAACCTTTCTCTCTTTAAATTCTGTTGCTGCGCTTATTTTGATTGATTGCTTTGTGATTCAAGAATAGATTAGTAAACTTAATTTTCGAATTAGATAATCTGTGATTTGCGGAAAACTTTCAAAGATCAATTCACCCCCCTCTTGATCTAAAACTACTTTTCTAATAACATCATCTTTCCCTAAGGTAGAGGCAACGTTTGCTTCATCCTTTGCTTCTTGATTCTTCTGTACACTCTTGCACTGATTTTTGTAGTGTCCGGTTTTCCCACAATTCCAACATTGATTTTCTTCGAGTTTTGGGAACTACGATGATTTCTGGACTTAGTTTGTCTGCCCTTTAATTTTCCGCGTCCACTTTCTTTGGTTAAACTTCTTCCTCTTGACTTTGTATGCAATACTGAAGAGGTTGATGATTCACCCGACTCCCTTCGCCAGATTTCTTCACTGAGAAGAAAATTATGAACATCATCAAATTTTAACTTATTACTTCTCGATGAGCTACTCACAGTTGTGACAGTAGTATTCCAACTTTCTGGTAGAGAAGACAAAAGTATTAAAGTTCGTACTTCATCATCGAACT